ACCTTTTATCACATGGAACTCATTATGACTCTTAAATGAAGGCAAGTAAGGTATAATTCGATGAGTCTGGTAGAAAGCAGACAGAGCAGTAATATTAAATATATGCTCTTTGAGGAATTAAAGGCATTATGGCATATGTTTTATTCAGTTATTTACTTGATGCAGGTGCAACAACTGTTACTAGTGTATTAGATCATTTGTTATGTGCTAAACAATGATATCAATATATACAATACTAGCAGACATTCCTAGGTCGTTGTTAGCATCGCAATATAAAAAGGAACCGAACATAACAGCACAATTAGTCCTATGGACATAGCCTACCTTGGAATCTAGGGGACCTTTTGGAAAATATACCAATCGTGATGCTGTGTATATTGTAACCCATGTGTACACTGCACGTGGTACACTTAGGCTAAGGCTCTACTACGCACAAAAATAAATTGAATAGAGAAAGTTTCTCATTGTATGGGTTTTGAACACTTTCAACCGACTTCCTCCCCAAAAACTAACTCGAAACAAATTTAGATTTTCATAGTAAAGTGGAAACTGAAGAACAATGTCAGTTACTTCCATCGTATTATCTCATTTTGAGATGGTTAAATTATTAATTGTGTTATAACACAAAGCCGGTAACTCTAGTTCCAGCTCCTGTATTGAAACAAAGTTTGTAGAAACCTATGTTGACTGACGGACAATGCAAAGTTCAGCCACTCTGACTGAATTACCCGCTATGATGTAAGCTCCTAGTAGCCACCCCATTTCCCGGGAAATTTTGATTAAACACAACGTCCAGGTGTTAGATTAATTAATGCTACTAAGACAAATCTTATGTTACTAAAATAGATATTTAATGTACGTATTACCTAGCTTAACTTTACTGACCGACAGATGTGTTTGTGGTTTCCAAAGTACTTGTTTATGAATGTGGTCTGGTTTGGTTAAAAGCTATGACTTTGACTTTGACCTGGATACTATAAATTTTATAATTGCAAGATTTGGAGTTTCTTCGGTAAAGTTTTAGCTTCGTATGTAAATCATTGTGATTTTTTATACGTAATTACAAAACCCATATGGTTTTTCTGAACCATACAATGTACTTGTTAGTAGACTTTTCTGTTTCTTAGTTTGAACATAGTCATCATTTAACTTCCACATATATATGAAACTGGTAGAAACATGAATGATTATGTATAATTACGGAAATGTCTAGTCTTTAAACTAAACATCGACCGCAACACAAATATTAAATTGAGCCAGGTTTTAGCATCCAACGTAAATTATTCTGCTGACATGTAAACTATGGGTTAGTGGAAAATTTGTTCAAATTGAGATACGATATCTGATTTTACTGAAGCCAATTTTGATTGTATAACAAACGGTGGGTAAATCCCAATCGAGTTGGAAGTTTGATTTAAAACATTAGAATTTTGTAGACCCCTGTAATTTGGTATTATTTGCCTATATGAACCTAAAATAAAAACAGTTTTCATTAGAATGAGTCTGTTCCAGTTAAGTGATACCAGGACCTCACAGAAAAGCGGCGTGAAACAAAGCTTGCGTTATGTTTCGCCGTGTGAACGACGTCACATGATCCAAACCTTCACAAATCCCAAAACCCACTCAAGAAGCTAGCAACGCACTTGTAAGTCCTCTGCTATTGTAGGTTTCCATGGGGGCTCTGACTGCTTACCGTCAAGTAATCTGTTCGTTATCCATCCTACCCTATAAAAAGTATTGGATTTTTGTTCCTTTTCTTTCCGTAAACACTAATGAGATAAAAATGTTTATGTAACTATGGATACGTACTTTACTAAAATAGTACTATGATACACAATGTACTTTCCCGTGTTCTGGAATTCAACGGTTAGACGTCAGACATGTTATCGTTAAGCCACTTAAGATTGCAGTCTAAACATAGTTCAGTACTTGGCATTCACAGATGTACTTGAATTCTATTGGTATTGAACTTGATTCTGAATGCCAAAATTAAATAAAAATGTAAACATCACAACTTATAGTTTCTGGGACGGGGGGCAGAAATAAATTAAACACCGCATTGCCAGGCCAATAACCTGAAAGATCGCGCGCATTTTTTACTTATAAGTAATCGTAAATAAACTAATTATCGATCAACTTTACTTTCCCTAAGGGCTAGTACACAAAACTGCGATGCGACGTCGCATGGCAAAAATATGCGAGCTCCATGTACGCATCGCAAGAACTTACGAATTGAGTCGCATCTCGCATCAAAATCTTATCTTGCCAAAATCTTCTTTGTTTATTTTTCCTGTATCTCCTTATCAATAACAGAAGTGCACATTTCTTTTTACGACCATGTCACGACCTAGTCTTCAATTTAAAATAGTTTAGTACGGTTGACGGTCGTCGAAGGAATGGTCACCCAGGGAGACGCCTTGTTGCACGAAATCGCATCGCAGTATTTCGCATCGTAATTTTTTGCTTTGCATCGCATCGCATCGCAGTTTATATACGAGCCTTTAGGTACTCCTTAGAAGTTGTGATAAATTGGCCAGCGAAGCAGCAGAAATCAATAATAATTTACCTAGAAATAGAAATCATTTTCAATCTGATATTTTTATGAAGTAGCAACCTAGTAACCTAGCAGTTCTAGGCATTAACAAGACTAAAAAGATAGAAAGATAGTCAATACGTTGTCTGGTAAATCCCTGTACTAGAACTGCATAGGTTTAAAAAGCCATTAACAAGCCATGCTCTGGAATTTCGATGTTGTTTCAATCAGGAAAGCGCGTTAAGCTGTTGGTCCTACGCCTGACCTCTTTGTGCTGTCGGATTGCCCTCCTATTGGATCATGAAAGTGAGGAAACAGTGCACTTGTTTATGTGTGTATTTTCTACAACATCTACGTTGTTAGGTCATTTAGAAAGGGATGTTTGTGGCCCAAATCGATACCTAGATAGTAAGCGTCTTATAAATACGGTTTTCTTTTAACTCTATCAAGCAATGAAAGAAAAAAAAAACCTATTAAAATGATTGGAAGGAGACATTGTTTTGAGCGTGAACCACACAACGCTGGTTTTCAGATGGTACCTTCCATCACTGCGTCTACCCAATCAAAATGCTGATAAAAAACTTCTATCTCACTCTCTTTGAAGTGAATTGTTCATTTATTAATAATAAAAATTACGCGCGCAATCAATGAAAGCAGCGTTCATCTCGTTGTTTTTTTAAAAGTCAGTTACGGTTTACCAGTTTCATAACGAAGGCAGCCTGTAACAGAAAGCTTAATTAAAATATGTATCAACAGGAAAGGAGGTGCAAGTTGATTTTTAACGGAACTGTCCAACAATGTGTAAAATATTTAATTGAAATATACCCAAAGTTAAAATTTTGACGGGTTATCGAAATTCAGATTGTTACATAAAGGCCTTCAGTTTTATAATTAAATTGCTGAACAATATTTAAAAATGCTCATACGAAAATTCTAGATTGTTTCAACGGTTTTTCGGTAGAATTTTTCTCAATTATTATAGGTATTAGATACTTTCCTTTTTTGGCCTTTCGAAAATATATCAGTTCGCCGTCTAGAATTGTGATCGGTATCATGGCAATATGCTCACCCCATTTCAAGGGACTTGTAAATGGTGAAGAGTAGGTGGACAATGTAACAAATCAATTTCATCAAAACTATAAGAATTAATTATTATTAAATCATTTGTAAAAGAAAATCTTACATAATGTACCATTTACCGAATTGAATTCTTGACTCCACACCTCGGGCAAGTGCCACACAAGCGCACAAAGGCAGTACACTAGTGAAGTTTTAATGCACATAAAGTATGGGCGACTATCCACATTGCGTCCTTTGACGAATGTATGCATCATACAAATTACACAGACATTTGAATACTTGTTATTAGGTTCGCATGACGTGCGGTTGATATGACGTTGCCGCAACGAGAACAGATTATTGATTGTTTCTACTCAAGATACAAGCATTCGTCAATTGACGAAAGCGTGCGTATGCCATGCGTACGTACCACGGGCAGTAGCCCTAATGACACAAAGTGGACAGTAGTCCTTAGTCTTAAGCTTCTTTATTTAATAACATCGACTGTATACTCAATCTGCAAGATATGCAGAAAATAAAGGCATAAATATTGAACCCCATTGTTACTTTACATTGCGTTTATGTAAAAAACGTAACAGGAGTAGAGGTGTGAACATCGTGCATGTTGTCGAGCCTGAATAATTCAGCCCACGGTTGACAAATTAGATGGCTGTCAATCCATCTTAGTGACGCTGATGGGTGTGCCATGCGATACCACTGCAGCGCGTTATTCTTAGGCAGGCGGTAGTACCGTGCTTTCCCCATCAAATTCAATGTGTCGTAACATAATATATCACCGCTTCTAGTCTCCGCCGAAACTGTAGTATCATTGATTAATACCGATTTTTCCAACGCCATTAAATTTTATCAGAGTTTGAATATTCGGCAATTCTTGCATCTTAAAAAGTCAACTATCAATTTTGTTGTACACTTAAGAATTAACTGTTGATTGAAAAATCAGCTGTAACAGTGCATAATATTATTAATGTTAGATCTTTGTTACGAAACCTGTTTGTAAAAAAACACTCTATACATATTCGTGACTCGATTATTAAACTCCAGCGACCAGTGCTGAGGTAATCAAGGCCTAATGACAATTTCATTTTACAACCCAATCCTTCAAAAAATATGTTTCCGCCACAATGACACGTTGAAGCCAACCTACAGCTATTGCTACGCAATACCCATGTTACACTCGTACATCCCTCACCTTAATAGCTCTGTGATTAATTAGATGCAAAGCCGAAGATTTAGAACAAAACAATTATTTTTGAGTCTGTTTCTGTTTCGCTTACAGTGACTAATTACATTTTAACATGGATTCAGTTTGTTATTGTTTGACCTTGCTACGTAGTAACATATGTCAGCAAATAATTCTCAGTTGTATAGAGTTGAAACCACATGAGTTATGTCGCAGCCGGAGAGGTATTATTAACATTTTCTTACTGTAGGCCAGTGTCTTGGACGACTATTTTTACACAGTGCCCAGCGAAACAATTGTGTAGAACTCTTTCGCCAATTGGAAAGAGTTGGGAGCCAGTGACAGTTATAAATCGTTGTACATAAATATTACCCAATGTCCCTCTAGAGCTGGCCGACACTGTTGGAATGAATCACAATAAGGAAACAGTAGGTAAAGCTCCCTCTAACTCGGTAGGTAAATGAACTGAATGCAATCGCTCTCCAGATATCGGTGGATACCTTTTCAACAAAGATTTATGATAATGGCTTCCACGCGCTTGCATTTGTTTGGAATCAATCTTTGCTCCTTATAAATGAGATAAACATTACAATTTTTCACAAACATAAATACGTGCACAACCTTCACCTGCGACTCAAATTTATTGTATACCTTCCGTTACTTTGGTAGACCTTTTCTAAAATGGCTTTATCTAAAAACTATTTCAATAAGGAAGTCAAACATAAAACTTAAGTTACATATAAACACAGCACGATATTATTGAATCGTAACCACAGACTCTGTTACCTTAGCAAAAGGTAAATAAATTTTAACAAGTTTCTTAATCGGTGAACATGCGTATGTGTCTCTGCGTAAACGTATTTACTGTTTTCAGTTCATTTTATTTTGCCGTGGGAAACGTAATACGAACACGAAAAGTAATTGAAGAAGTCAGTGCGAATATTAAGAATGCGGCCGACGGCGATAAGATTATCAAAAATATGGTTGATGGAAAGAGTAAGTAAAGTTGTATGAAGTAGACGTTGAAACGGGCGCTCTATAGTAATGAACGTTAACTATTCTGAGAAAAAATCGTTTTAGGCATTGCAAAGCAACCTGCAATAATAATGTTCACCGCTCCTTATAAATTGTGTGAAGGCGGGTGCAACGGAACTAACGGCGGGAATATCGAGTTGCAGTTCCCACTATTTGTTGGAAAGAGAGGACGAGACGCTTACCAGCGCATATTCCATAGGGACTCCGAGAAATTGTACTCGAAGGGTGATGGAGGGCCCTTCAAAAAGCAGACGAAAATGCAATCCACGACACCAGATGTGGTTGTGCAAGTGAATGTACTACCAACTACAACTACGACTACCACGACTACTACTACAACTACAACTACTACAACCACGGAAGCTCCAACCACCACGACACCGCCCGCGCCCCAGTGCCCGTTCTTTCCTTCTGACGTGTGTATGAAGAAGATAAAACAGAAGAAAATAAAAAAGAACACAACTATAATGAACAATGACACAGAATATTCTACTGGACAAAACGAATTTCAAAAATCAACCGTTGATATCACAAATGCGATAGTACTTGAACAATTGTCTTTAGGTATCCCTGAAGATAGCTCTCCAAGTACTATTGCACTTAGACAAGATAACGGTGATCTGTCATATTTGGCTGGTCCTGTTACAGAGTATAATTTTTATGATCTCGGGCATCCTTACTTTAGTAATGAGCAGCAACAGCCAGCATTTACTTACTAGTGCATACCTTTATTAGATTTAGTATTTAACTGTCAAAAATATACAACTTATAAAATGCACAAAATTAATTCAAGATATTGAACACAGTTACAGTTTTGTAGTTTATTAAAAACAACAAAATGGCGCATAATGGGTTTGTTGTTCAAGACTGAGGTTTGCTTGTTAACTAGATCCCAGAAATATTATATTACATTCCAGTCTACAAAGTTTATAGAGAGAATATCAGATTATCCAAACAAATGGTAGTTACGGAACAGTATTGTATATAAAAGATATGCATGGTGCATTTCTTTTCAAACGAGCTGTCGACTCGAGCAGGATCACGTATCATTAAATCGTCATATCAGTGGAAACAAAATTAAATGCATGTTGCATCGAAATACTCAACAAACCAGTTTGTAGAACGTGGCTTGCTTGCATCCAAATAGTTCCTTAAGAAATTAAAAAAAATATTTTAAACAGTGGGTAATTTTTCAAATGTAAATACGCAAGTTTATCACAATATCTGAACTTTTACCTCGTCAATAAATTTTGTTAAACATTAAACGAGGTTTTATTAAACACCAATTCCGCTATGAACAAAATAAATGAGAATTAGAATTTCATTTTTCTACATTATTAGTTAAATATTATTTTTGTTGGCAGTCGGCGTGCATCGCTCTATGTCTGGTGAGTTTGGTGGTGGAATCCTGGCAAGTGATAATGCCATGGGACAAGTGGTCCTGGTCTATGCCACAGGAACCTATTCAGTATTTCTTCCGAAGACATGAGAACTTACCTGTGAAATCCCCTTCATTTGGGTGCGAATGTCCACCACACAATGGTAAGTGAAAGTTATATAATTATAATTTTATTTTATGTAGATTTATGTTCCAAGTTTCAATATATTGTTTCCCATAATATTTTTTTACTGTATGTACTATGATACTGCATTCAGGCGCACTTAATTCAATTTAAATAAGTATGATTTATCGACCACGGCCTTCATACTACATTGCTGTCAAACAACTTCCAGTCAGCCATATAACTAGATAGCTAGATACCTTTATAGTTATAAATACTACAATGTTCAACTCTTAGCACTCTTGACACAGTTATCCACAGATATTGCCATCTTAATCTAAACACGAAGTTAGATTCCCAATCGTCCATTAAGACAGTGGTATATCATCGTTCTACATGATATAATGATTATTCTCGTTACAAGTAATATTATATACGTTATACACAATAGTTTTTAGCTTAATTTATTTTCAGAATGCGCTTTGGAATTTAAAGTCGATCACGCCATGGCTGACTTTTTAAACATGCGAGGGGTTATAAAGAAGGAAGAAGTAAACTCAATTCGAGAAGAATTGAAAATATTAGAACTACAAAATAGAAATAACAGTAAAAGTGGAAGAAGAATGTGGAGGACCGTCAGAAATAGGCGGAATAATGCCGATGATCCTGAGGAAGCCTGCTGTTGTCCTCCCAGAAATGTGTACATGCCTACTTTCATAACGGACAGTAAATTTAAAGAAATAGCAAAGAGATTCCAAGCACAAAAACAAAAGAAAAATAAAAAATAGTTTCAAATAAATATTATTATTGAAATCATATTACATTTTATTGTTAGCAAAATAAAAACTATATTACCTTTATTTCATGGCGTCATATTTTGTTAGTCAATCATGCACACAACACTGCTGAATTTAATGTTGATAGTTTTTTCGTTTTTTCACTATTCGACAAGTCAAGACAAAGCTCCTAGCCTCGATAACATAATTAAAAATAATCAAGGTATGTAAACTTTATGTGGTAATATTTAATGAGTATGCTTAAAACATAATTTGAACCTATGAACCTTTGGTACTAAATAATTTAATTACAACTTATTTCTAAAGAGCGAAACTATGAATCTCATCATCTTTTAATAATAATATTAGGATTAGGAATTGATAGCGTGATAACATCAAATTTTACAAGAAAACATTTAACATGCATATTGCATATCCTTAAATTATTTTACTTTAGTAAAACAAAAAGTTTAACACATCAAAATCAAAATCAAAGCATTTATTTCATCCTTGAAATAGAATAGATATCCTTAATTAGACTTACTTTGACAGCGTCACATTGTATTGACCGTATGTCAGTGAAGCTAGGAGCATAAATTTTTGTGGGTTTTACCACGGAATATAGTGTTCTATATTCCGTGGGTTTTACACCTTACTATAGTGCATATTAGTTTTGCAAAAGGAACTTTAAAAGACTAATCTTAGTGTTAGTTTATTTATTTGGGTCATATGCAATATAGGTTTTGCTTAGAACTTCGTAAAATGTAGTCTAGTCTTATCTTATGGCTGAAATTAATAACCGATGTCCATTTAGGAGCTGGCGATTAAGATCGATATTTGACTTTATTTGTGTGGTGTTTTGTAATAAACAGAGATAAACTCAGATGTTTTGGATTAAGGTCGATTTTTCCATTTCGTCTGTTAAGGTTAGACCGCACTACAGATAAATTGTCGTGTGAATTTATAAAACTAGAGAACTAGCCACAGTTGCAACTAAGTGATTTTAAAACGCGAAATTGTTTGTTTCAGTTGGTTGTGCTCAAGCGCCTATAATGATACAACCTGTTATAATTAAACTATTTAAATATCCGAATCAAAATCAAAAACAAAACATACAAGAGCAACTGGAAAAAATGCAAATAGGAGGATTTTTTGGATAACGATTACAAATAAAATATAATAATATAAATATATTATTTATGTAAGTAGTTTTATTTGGGGTAAATCGAATTATTTGTTGAAAATACTGCAAATAATGCAACGTTGCGTAACTATGCAGGTGGCGATACAATAGAATTTGTCGTCGGCAAACTATTAGAAAAAAAAATAGAACAATGCCATAATTAGGTGCCAATAAAGTGCGAATGAAAGAAGTTGACGTTTAAAAGCAAACACAAAGAATAATTTCGGGGAGTGTCTGTGTAGAAGTGACTACAAGTGACAAAGTAAACTATTAAAGAGACAAGAAACTAGGTGCAAAAACATGGTGACTAATTATTTTCTAGATATTTACACGAAACTTTACAATCAATGGATTTTTCAGTACATCATTGAATTCACATCTTATTTCGTGATACAACATCCAACATTTCATATAATTACGAGTTGACAACATTGTAATGAGTGGTATCAAGAATTATTTGCAATTTAATTAATATTAATATTATTATCATAGAGCACATTATAAATACGTTACGCCTACATATTGGCATGGATGTACTACGAATGCGAAATCAGTTCATGAATCCCGCATATTTGTATTTTCCACCAGATAATGATATGGAGCGAGATACTAATTAATAAACATTTTAATAATCTATTTACGTATTTACTCCATGGAGGTGTTCTGACCTACTCATGCATTACATCGCTTCCACCGTAATTATATAATTTTCTAAAATATTCGCTAATTAGTGTTTATATGAATCACTATGTAGTATGAACATTGCTCGATTTAAGTTTCATTGGCAAAATGTAAATTAAATATAACACTATTTCTATAAATAGATATCAAATATCTAATGTTCTAGGTGAGTCAGGAAATTCCAAATTGTTTTATAACTCGCATAGAGTGTACCTAATACTTATCAACAAATGCATGCGTTAACCATAATTTATATTTCCAGCTAAAATGGATGGTGCAAGTATTAGTACAGTACCAGATCATAGTAATAACGTCGCCATCAATCACCGGTGTCACTTACATGGACAACTTCGATTTCGAGGAGAGATACAGAGACGTTAATGAATGTAATCCGTTCTACTGGCATCCGCTACATTTACCTCCTTACTGCGTCGAAATTTTCGAGAAATTAATACGTTCCAGATTAGCGAGTAAAACTCCTATCAGAATTGCGAGGGAAAGAGATAAGGGAGAAACAGAAGGTAGTGAAGGAAAGGGAGGGAAACATGGACATGGTCACAGTTCATATTTCTCAGAAAATCAACATCACCATCCGCAACTCAATTACCCTGAACAATTGTATCAATTTCCATTTCCAATGTACCAAATCACTAGCGCAGAATACGAGTCGTACAGTCCACCATACACGAAGCCTTTGCCTTTGAGTCCGTATGAGCAACTGATGAAGCTTCTAAAAGATGATATTAAGAAAGACCCGAGCTCTCCGACCGTTACTGTCATGCCGAGTTTAGGCCCCGTCGCATTGTACAAACAAGCTATCTCCCAGAAGAGTGTGAACCTGATTCGAGAATTAGCCGAAGCTTACGTAAAGGCTACTAAAGAGAAATATGACGAATATTATTCAGCGTTTGATAATTATCCATCGGAACCTCAAATATACGTATATGACAGTGCTAAAAATAAGACTAAAGAAGAAAAAGCAAAGGAAGACACTAAAAAAGACAAGAAAAAAGAAAAAGAGAAAAAGAAAGAAGAAAAAGAAAAGAAAAATAAAGTTTATAAACTAAAAACTAAGCACGGAGGAGTAGTTACTATAATAGAAACGAGAAACGTAGAAATGATGAAAAAAGACAACCCTTTGCTTTGATTTCGGTCTATCTATTAATACATAAACTACGTATTTGTCAAAAGATTTTATTATTGTTTGTTTTTATTAACTTAATAAGAATAAAGTGGTAGTTCTAATTTATATCTCTGACCGTAATTAATAGAGTTCATTTTATTAATTTAACACTTATTACATCACGCCTTTAACCCCAAAGGGGTAGACAGAGGTACACACTACAGCACCTAATCTCAGAGTACAATGAAACACCCACTTCTCACTATTTATACTACAAGTCCCATGTAATCGGAGGTAAGCCTATTGTCATATACAGGGCACAATTCCAGACTCCTCTTGCTCGGAACTCGCCCTTACGACCACTCGGCCAACGAGACAGTACTATAAATTTATCCATTGTGTAATTTTTTCCCATCTACTGCTATCATATTAATTACGATATTATTTTAAGAAA